TTAAGGCTTCAGTTCTGCCGAAGTTCTGGAACGGAGCTGTGATGTCTCTGTACAGCTTGGATGGATTAGGCGAAGGACCGAGCCGAGAGCTGCTGCTGGTTGATCGGCATGGGGGTTTGGAATTCCAGTCGTAGAAGCAGCTTGATTGTCTGAGAAAATCAGTTCTCGAGTAGTTGACGGACACCGAAACCCTAACCTATGAACCAGTCGGCGTGAAGCCTTGCCTGCCTCGTAAGAGTGTGCGAGTCGGAGCCGACACTCAGGCTACTTGCCGCCGCAGGACTGCCAACCACGTCGGGAGCAAGGGAGCTTAAGGCTTCTACTTTCTACGGTCACAGTCTTCTCAGATGCGACATTCTTCGACTCGCAGTACAACCTGTTGTTTAGGATTTTTGGTCGCCTTACTGCGTAAACCCTGCAACAGCGCGATCTTGCCCGGGAAGCAGATGACAGTACAAACTTGCCGGGAGACAGCCTTGCTTGAAGAGCCGAGGAAGGTCGCGAAGCTGAAAGCGAAAGCGTTTTTCACATGAATCGCAGAATCGTTTCATTAGTTGCAAGTACCGAGGAAAGTTCCTTCAAAGGAGCCGACAGGTAATGCATGCGGCGTATTGGCCTGCTCCAGCAGCACCTTGCGTTCATACTTGATGTGCCTGCCCAGCACATCCCAGCACTGTGTAACCGAAGCCCTGGCAAATGTACGGCTCGGAGGCACCGTTCTAGCAGTTGATGACCGAACAAGGAAGCCTTCAATCAAACTCCTGTAACTGTTACAGCTCCGACGCGCATGAACCATAAACCGACCCCTCAATACATAAATGATAAGCTAAACCGTCGTAAATATCAACCTCAACCAGTAATGATTTTTTTGTTGTTGGAGCTGTGACCTAGCATACCATGCGGTAGTGTGTGCGTGTGTCGGCTTTGCTCCATTCGGATTTTTGTGTTGTCCAAGTTGTGTCGCGGGTTTGGCACCGGTGATGAACCCTGGCAGCGGGCTGGACAGTGTGGGGACCTGTGCGACCTACTGCATTGTATACATGAGGCTTGCTAGGCATGGCTGTTCTGAGACACGCACTTCCCTGACGACAGGCAGGGAAGCTCGCAACCCGAAACCCCTGAACCCATGTCCCGTGGAGGAAGGCCAGCAGCACTTCCTTTGCGCAATGTCTGCCCCCAGGGGCCCTGCGTGCGGCTGGGAAGAAATTTGTCCCTCAAGGTTTGGTTAGCTTGCATGTGCCTTGTGCGTCAGTGTATGATCTAAAAGCATCTGCATGGCAGTATGTCTGCAAACATGCATTGAGGACGATGTTTTTACTATTTGGGGAGAGAGGGATCGGTATCTTGGAGCCTTGTAGGTTCGGCGTTTCGAAAAATCCAGTAATGTATAGGCTTTGAGGCAGCGCCATTGGCCTAAATATTGCAAGGCCGGAAAATGCGTGTGATTCTTGTTGCTGCTGTTTGATAGCTGGCGGGAGGCTGCTTTTATGATGATGCTGAATTAGATGGCCTTTTGGCACATGCCTCTGGATGCTTGTGAGATCTCCTGCGAGTAGGACGGCAAGCTGCATGTTCGCAAAATAACCTACGTGCATAGAGCCAGCTGGCTGGGCAAAGGGTCGTAATGCATTTACATGATTTACATGCCTATGTGTGTTCCTGTTATTGGTGCTGAGCACCGGCAGCCTTCGGCATCCAGGCCTAGCGATTTACAATGCTGATGGCAACGTGGTGCTCTGGCTGCCGAGAGATCCGATACCATCTTTTGCAACGAGCATCACTCTATGCTGAAGGTTTCGAGAGGGGCTTCAGCAAGGTTACAAGGTTGTTGGATGCCGGAATGCTTACTTCACGCTTTGACCCCTGTTTGAAGGTAGCTAGACGTGCTTGAAAGCTACGAGTGTACTGTGTGTCCTGCAGTGTTCGTGTGTAGGAGACGCAATCCTGGGAAAGCCGCATCATGCCGAGGTCAAGGATGTCAAAGTTCACGACAAGCCCCTCACAGCCATCGCAGCCGCTCGGCAGCTTGTGTCCCGCCTAGCTGGAAAATCTCGTTGTTGGGCGTTTGGCGAGGTCGACAAAACGGGCCAAACCGTTTGTGTCAACTTGGTGACCGGCGGCGCCTTGGATCAGTACGCAAGTGCAAACTCGAATGTCGTTGCGCACGCCAGCGCCGGCTCGCCTAGACTCTACTCTAGATTCTAGATTCTAGATGTTGCACCACGCAAGGTAAGCGGTTGTACTCCTTGCCGAAGATGCGATGCTGCCTGGTTGCAATGGAGGCTAGAAAAAAAGCTTGCGCTCGCACAGACACCCCGGCCACCGTTGATTTTGGTCTTTCAACCGTAGACATGCATGCGTGCTGGAAGGTTTGAAGAAAGCCGAAAATGCTGCCCGGCAGCCAGCAAGGAAGCATGGCCTGTACACTGTACACGTTCAGGGTCAGCTGGATCGACTTTCATTCGCATATGCAACCAGAGCCGTGAGCAAATATCAGTGATAGCAGTGATTTGCCTTGGGCACAACATTTTCAACTAGTCGATCCGATTAAGATGATTGGTTCGCATACGGTCGTTAAGCCTTTTCCCAGTGGCCAGAAGCTGGCTAGTTAGTTGTTGATTCCACACCTTTCTTTCTGACTTTCCGTGCAACGCCGGCACATCCTAGCTAAGTGGGAGGCAAAAAAGTTCGTCACTGGTCCAAGCAGCCAGCCCTCAGCCTTCATGTTGATCTAGTCTGGTTCCCAAATTTCAACTGACATGCCTAGGTCGCCCCTTGATCGTTGCTGATGTATTCACAGAACATAGATAGCCTGTGTATATATATATATATATACATAGATATCTGTGTGTATATACATAGACATGTGTGTATAAGCATGTGTATATATATATATACACACACATACATATATATATATATATATATATTACATACGCACATACACACATACACAGACAGACATGCATGCAGAGAGAGAGAGATACATTGGCACATGTGCATACATATACATACATATGTATGTATACATATGCGTGTATGTGCATGTGTGTATACATATATATATATATATATATATATATATATATATATGTGCGTGTGTGTCAAGTGCATGTATTTGTAAATATATGTACACGAGCAACTTGCTCATGCATGTAAGTCATCAAGCTAACAAGTGAAGAGAAGAGAGGAGAGGAGATGTGCTGTGGAAAGCTGAATCATGTCTGGGCTTGCAAGCACGTCATCCAACTAAGTTGCCCAGTTCCTCGTGTTCAGAAAAAAGGACTCGTTGTCAGTCTCTCAGCCAAAAAGCCTTGCCAGCAGTTCGGAAAGCATCAAGGTCCACGATTTGCCTGCACCTTGTGCAGTCTTCGTAGACTCCACGGCTGCAGCTCGGGCAGAATTGAGCTACTTCTGCTAGAACAGTGTCAGTGGAAGACGACCAGTACGTCATTGTGTAGCTGCACAACCATATGCTGTGCACATCCTGCACTGTTTGAGCTGCTCTTGAGACCAGGCTGTCGCTCCTCCTGCTAAGGTGTCCGGTAGCGGCGATCGCTCCATCAACCTGTGACCTCTGCATGTTGAAGTAGCGCTGGCAGCTGAGCTGTCGCTACGAAGGTTGGCAGACACGCTGACGTCAGAGAGCGGCATGCCCCGGGTACGAGTTTGAGATGTCTGCACTGGAGCACGACAATGTCCAATCGCATTTTGCCGAGCCGGAACGTGAAAGACTTAGTGAAAACATCGCCTTTCCCTTGACTGCGATCGGGGTGTAAGCTCAAGTTTTTGCATCCCCAATTCCGAAAGAAGTTTTTTTTCCAGAATCAGACTCTGAAGTGAAGACGCTCCTACAATCCTACAAGCCAGGCTCTCGTGCAAAAAAGCTCCGGGAGGAGGAGGCACATCCTGCTTGTGGCTCGACTGCAAAAGACTGACGACCTCCTGCCCTTCTGGATTTTTGCACGCGGGACTCCGGTCGTTGCACGCAAAATACGTTCGACCGGCAGCCGGGGGTCAAATCAGATGCCGTCGCTGTGAGGTATTTGCTGCTGCTCGTGGTTGTGATGGTCGCCGCATGCTTCCTCATCATGCGCATAGGCCGGGTGCGGGAGTCCGGGAATCTTGTATGCTATGTGGAACTAAATGCTTTTCCCACTGGTGACCATAAATCATGACCAGCCAATGCTCAGGCATGAAGGGCGCGGTGCTGATGGACAGCCCCGGGGAGCTTTAAGGTGGGTCCCTGTGGTCTGTTGAAGTTCAGTCGAAGCTCCAGGGCCAAATCATGTCAGGCCGGTGAGCATGAAGACACGGGAGGAGAGGGAGGCAGCATGCAGACCGAGAGATCCCGATCTTACAAATTGCAGATTCCGAGACCTCTCAGTGTTGGTTTTGGTGAATGCGAGTCTCCAGAAGACGAAGAGGGCCACCGCGCCCGTCAAGAATGTGGTCTCAAGAACAAGCCTTGGAAGCTTTGAAGGTATCCTTGTTTGTAGCTCCATAACAAAGTGCCGCGAAGCAGGTGCTTTGAAGCTCCGGGCCGGAGGTTTCACGCCTTCACGCTCCTTCCAGGCAGCGGAGGTGTCCCCCAAAGCTCACACCAAAACAGCAATGTTGGGGTCTACACTGGCATCAGGGTCGCGGGTTTAGGGTTTGTATTTCATTAACATTCTTGGGAGCCGTGCAGTGTGACCGCCCCCTTCAGCAGCAAGACCTTACGATGCCACGATGCAGTTGCGGCTACGGAAAAGAAGCGAAGAGATCGTGAGCTTGTGGAACGGGGTTACAGTTCCAGGTTTTGGTGGCTCAGTTGCTGTGTCAGACATGTCCTCGCCTTCAGCCAAGCGATGCATGGGCTCTGATGGGCTCAGGGGATTCAGGGGTGTTCAGGCATCCTGCACGTGTCATATGCGCTATCCCCCGCCAGCGCCGAGCAGACAGCTATGAACTTTCCTATGCTTGGCAGCACTTCAAGCTCTGTGCAGAAGCACAGAACCAAGACGGAATTTCAGAGCAGAAAATCTTCTTGAAGCGACCGCCCTGGCTCTGCAATCCTTGTAGTGCACGTGGCAGACTGGCTGGATCCTGACGCCGACCTACACTCGCTGTTCTCCTGTTTCCTAACAAAGGCAAGCCGGAATAGACTGCCTAGGAACCTCTCCATTGAGAATCCAAATCCGCCTCCATCCCGTATGTAACGGTGGTTGAATCTCGGCCTGCTTCATGCGGGGCAGGGTTTCAACTCAGCCACCTAGCCTCCGAACGTATAATAATGATTGCATCTGGAGTTTGCAAGGACATGCACCGACCACCCCTTCAGTCTAAGCCCCGGAGAAAGGCCCCCACCCGCGAGCTTCAGAAAAACGCACCAAGCCGATCCGATCCGAGGCTCCGGTCCCTCCGACACCTCGAAGCTCAAAGCCTCGAGGATCTTCGAGCAGAATGCAGGCCACAGAGTTTTTTCTTTGGGGGGTGTCGGGGTGTTTCTTGGATTTAGGGTTGAAGGTCGAAGGTTCCTCTCAGGTTCACTGCGTTGGGAAGGGGAATCCTAGGATCCATGGAGGGCTTCGGGGCGCAGTTCGTGCGGTCACCAGCACCAGGGCTGACTTTGATGTTCAGGCTTGCATCGGGAGCCGTGCCACTCATGCACGTTGAGGAGCAGAAATCATTCAGCCCGAAAACAGAAAAGAGCAGCTAGCCAGCGTGGTCGCGAGGCAGCTCACCTGAATAATTAGGAAGGCCAGGAAGAGTCAGCAACGGCATTCTTGCGCTCGATCTAGCAGCTGCATTGGTGCCATGCAGTAGTCTGATGAAGTCAAGTGCTGCAAAGCATGAGTCCGAAACCCAAACTCTGGTGGATGCAGGCAAAGGGGACTGGCTCCGCCGAGGCGAGCCTCCAAGGCTGGACTGGGCCTTGCGATGAAACTCGAGACTTTTCTCAGCTTGGGGGATCATGATACGGAAGGCTGCTTTCGCGGTGTATATCAGGAGTAACCCCACCCCCCCGCGAGAGTGGAGTGATTGCCCTGTTCCAGTGTAGCCGAGACCTGATGAATCTCAACTGGCGGAAGGTATGGCAGGGCAACACCCCGGCTTCGTTAAGTCCTCCTCGCTGGTCTTCAATTTAAACTCAAAAGACTCAAAAGCAAGGTTCGCATCTTCATGGACATGAATCTCAGAACGAGGAACAGGACCGCAAGGCTGAGTGCGAGGATCTGTTGCTTCACCTGCTTCCCGTCCTGGGAACGGACTATGAGCGGATCATTTCCAGACCTTGGCTTGACCGGTGGGTACGACCATGTCGGAGGCGGTTGCAAGGATGTTTCCCGGTTCTGCGGCGCACCTTCGTTGGTCACCTTTCTGGTCTTGATGCTCCTTTTCTTGCACAAGATGGTGCAAAGTGCAAGACTAGTTCCAAAACGTCTAACCACTTCATGCCAATTCATGCCACGTTGTTCTCGAGGGTCGCCCATGCAAGTTCTGCGCAGATACAGTTTGTTTGAATACTGAACCGACCAACGACGCCATGATAATTCGCTGTACCAGCATTCAGTTACTTGCCCCGGAAACTGGCTGCTTCCTGCAGGCAGATCTGATAAGCCAATTGCCCGGGGCTTGGCAGAGATGGAGGTTCGGGTCGCGGTACCTTATGTGGGGTCTATGTCTCGCATTATAGACAGTGCAGACAGACTTGTGGTTGTTGCCGTCCATGCATCGCGATCTGCAATACTTTTCAATCGAGGCTTCGCACGAGTGTCAGGCTCCGTGTGTGAAGGCAGTCAAAGAAGGCGTTCTTGCCCGTCGTCTTCCATTTCGGCACTCTCAGACAGGGGGTGGGCGTCAGTCGAGGTCAGAAATGCTCCTTTGGTTAGAGCTGCCGCTCTCTGCGCTGCGCAGCCTTTGCAAGGACTCGAGGGCTTGCGGCAAGCAGCTGCAAAGCAAAGCAGCCAAAGATCAACAACACGCGCGTGACGACGGATTCCCTCCCCCCTCCCGTTGCAGGACCGCGGCTTCAACATACGTGGAGACCAGCGGCGTTGGCACCTTAATTACATCAGCTACAGTACAGTGTCAAGCAAGCCATTCACTGCTGCTAGAACTGCACCGTCCCGACCACCCTGCGATCTTCAATTTCATGCATTCCCTTGAACGTTGTCCCTTCCGCTGCAGCGGATTAGTGTGTCCGCTCTCCGAGGTGCCGACCTTCTGCCGGGAACTTGGGAAGTTGGAATCTCGCAGCGCAGAGCCGAACAAGTTCTCTGCGCGTTTTTTTCTGAATCAGGATAAGACCTGTAAGAACAGAATGGGAATGATAACACTGAAGCGGTAAGAGTATATTAATGATAGCAGATGGCAGTGGTAGTAGTCGTCGTAGTGCTGGTTTGCAGGATATGTGCCTGGGTTCAGCAGCAGTAGTAGTAGTAGTATTAGTAGCAGCAGTGGCAGCAGTAGCAGTAGCAGCTGTAGCAGGAGCAGTAGCAGTAGTAGTAGTAGTCG